TAAAACACGTCTAAATAATTTAATAATTTCCCATTTGCAGTTGTCAGAACTGTTTAAGAACTTTGTGAGGCAGCTTATTTACAACCAGCTCTCAGACACATTTAAAGTTACAAACACGGAAAATAAACGTATTATATCGCTAACGCGGCTAAATTTGTAAACAGAGATTTTTTTTTAGTGACGCAATTTCATCAGGTCCCTCGTGTGATGCTATTTCCGCGGAGAGTGTCAGCTAAGAAATTCGTCTGCTGTTTTCCAAAACACCTAACATTGAGTAAAATGTTTCATGGATCTTTATGACGACTGTTGGGAAACATGCCTGAATCCTCGGGTCCAGTTCCTCCTCGTACTTGTCACCATCGTCTTCCTGTAGCGGTTTGAGCTGCAGGTGCGTAGCATCATCACCATCTGCAGTTCCCGCATCATTCTCCTCCTCTTTTTCCTCCTCCACTGCTCTCCTTTGCCTCAACATAATGGCGCTGCCGTCTGTCGCTTCCTTCCCGGGTGTCTCCTCCCGCTTACAGCACGGTTTGAGGCTCCCTTCACGCCAGTCCCGCGGATCCATTTGCGGCCTGTGTCGTGATTATTTGTTTTTCATTTCAAAAGTGTGTCATAGAAAAACTGAATCATTTTTAAATATTTTAATTTACAAGAGCATTAATTCACGGCAAACCCCGAGACAAGAACTCTTTTCCATTTGTATTTTAAATGGCAGATTTAGAGCCGAGTTCTGTCTCCTTGTCGCAAATTAACTGTCGCGGTGACGTGCTTATCTAAACCGGAAACTACAATAAAGTGTCAAAATAGCAGTGAAAAAACCCACATACACTTGGAGTATACATTTGGAGTTTTAACGTTTTTAAATTGCTTATTAAAACTAGGTGTAAATGTTACTGTAGTACTTCCTCCTCCTCGTAATATTCTAAGTAGTAGAAAGTGAAATTGGTGCAATATTCAAAAGGTAAAAGTGAATTTAAACAAATGTATTTAAAAATATATATATATTAAAAGTTAGAGGTCAAATTCGACACGTTCATACGTAAAGCCCTTAGTCTTTTAAACAGTTAAAACTATTTCCTTCAGTTGGTTTCGCAGGAAATCACACCCGCCCACTGTAGATTCATGGTTTGATTGAAAACCACCAAAGAGGAAGACTTTAAGAGATAAAAAAGATCAATTACACGATAAGAATGATTTGTAATAATGTACTACACTAACTGTACAACAATATCATTGCCGAAAAATGCTTACAATGATAGTAGTACAGGTAATAAAATTGTTTGCCGCTGGCTCCTGTATGTTTATTTATTAAAGGGAAAAGCAAATGAAGTGGACAAGAAAGTGAAAACAAGGTCTAAACTAAACATGTGCCGAGAGATCTTTTGCAGAATATCTTAAGACTTGTGGACACACCAACAATAACATAACAATTTCCTTTGCGTATTGTTTTAATTTTCCATCGCAACTCCACTTGTAATGGAGCGAAATACTCAGATCCTCCAGATATTTTCTCTATTGGTCACTCCCACATATGCACTCGCACTGACACACAGACGGAAGAGAATCTTGTTTAAAAAAAAAAAAGAAAAAAGAAAAAAAAACAGTTTTATTATTATCTGTATCTATAAAAAACATCTAACACCTAACATATCATATTATTTCATTTTGTTTATTTTTTGTTTAAGGTCTGACTGGAGAATAATACACATCACTGACCCGTGTCAATTTATCCGACTGGGCCACAGCTACTAAAGGATAAGCCATGTCTCCGTCATGCGTAGCAATTTAAAACCAACCGATCAAATCAGTATATTATCAGTCTTTACCACCTGAAGTACAGCATATTAAAGTCACTGGCTTAACGAGCACGAGGGCTCGCCCCGAAAAACGTAAAAGTTTGATCAAGTCGTTCCTTGTGTTTTTTCCCCCCTGTCATCACGTGTGCGACTTTTGTCGTTTCCAGAATCTCTTGACCTCGCTGTGTCCCTGCGGCGTCACCACCAGCACCCTGTGTGCGACATCCTGCCACACCAGACATCCCAGACCCTAAAAGACAGGTTGTCGTCATTTTCTTTAAGCCCTATGTTTAGACTTTGTAGTAAGAAATAAAATCCAACCTGAGCTCTGTCTCTCAACACCTCGAAGTCAGCCTGAGAGAGGAACTGGTTATACAGCACGCCTAAAGGAGAAATTATATTAAAAAACTTTTTTTTTTTTTACACATACATGTTTGCTAGAAAATGCTTTTTAAGCAAACTTTTGTGCATAAAAAAAGTGAAAGTGAAAGGTAAAGGCATTATGACAAAAAAAAAACCCCTGTGATCAGTACAGAGAAACGTTACCGAGATAGAACACCCACATAAAACTCCAAACGCACTCACCTTCTGTGAACTGCAGTCGATCTCTTTCCAGCTCCCACAGTCGGATCTGATCTGTGACAGTGGGAGGCAGCACTGGAGTCTGAAGTACAGAAAAAAAAATGGAGAATTTAGACACTGTGATGTGTGGACTACAGTAATCATATGTTGAAACTCTAATGTGTGCAAAGATAAAAAAAAACACAACAGTTTGTTGTACCTGTTTGAGCAAAACTGGGTGAGCTCTCGTCCTTAGAAAGTGAATGATCTGCAGGGGATACACAGATTAGATTAAATTAGATAAAATCAGATTAGAGTATATTAGATTAATTAGATTAGATCAGATTACATTAGTTTAGAGTAGATTAGATTAAATTAGATTAGATCAGATTACATTAGATTAGAGTACATTCAATTCAATTAGATCAGATTAGAGTATATTATATTAGATCAGATTACATTAGATTTGATCAGATTAGATTAGTTTAGAGTAGATTAGATTAAATTAGATCAGATTATATTAGATTAATTAGATCAGATCAGATTACATTAGATTAATTTATCAGATTACATTAGATTAGAGTACATTAGATTCAATTAGATTATATCAGATTAGAGTATATTATATTAGATCAGATTACATTAGATTTGATCAGATTAGATTGGATTAGATCAGAATGGATTGAATTGGATTAGATCAGATCAGATTATATTAGATTAGATGCAAGTGTTTTGATCCTTTTGCGATATTCCCTCAAAGAAAGTCTGTCTGGCACAGGCATGGGCAAACTAAGGCCCGGGGGCCAGATGCGGCCCGTTCAGCTTTTTAATCCGGCCCGCAAAACTTTTCAAAATTATATCAGATCAGATTATATTAGATTAGATGCAAGTGTTTTGACCCTTTTGCGATATTCCCTCAAAGAAAGTCTGTCTAGCACAGGCATGGGCAAACTAAGGCCCGGGGGCCAGATGCGGCCCGTTCAGCTTTTTAATCCGGCCCGCAAAACTTTTCAAAATTATATAATGTATTTATATTACCATTATACTTCTGCCTTTTCCCTGCAATACCCACGTTTCTCCAACAGATGGCGTCGAAAATGATAAAAGCATTTTACCCTTTATGCATGACTTTTACACGTCATTTATCTTAGTTCCCATGAACCCTCCATCTTTCTGCTCCTGACCCGGCCCCGTTTAATTTTAAGGCAATTGTGGCCCGCGAGTCCAAAAGTTTGCCCATGCCGGGTTTAGCACATCAATGAAAACATTAAACACAGACACTAGATCTAAAAATAGCCCGTAGGTCAGTACCTGCTGTGCAGTGATGCCGTTGGAGATGGCCTGTTGAACGGACTCCCTTGTCACATGAGCCACCACAACGTTGGGGAAGCGGTAGAGCATCTCGCTGAAGAGAGCCACCAGAGCAATTTGTAGTTCCGAGTCTGGACAGGCCAAACAAGCAAGGTTACCGTACATCGTTAGAACACTCGACATCGTAAACGAAGCCAAACTGACGTATGTGAGAGTGGCTTTGGTGTTTGGACATACTTGTGTAAGCGTAGACGCGATAATTTGTTTCCACTATAATGTAGCCTGCATCTCCGGTGGGAGTGAACGACGTACTGGAGTTGGTAGCGCTGGTCGTGACCCCTGCAGCCACATTGATGGCCAATCTGGTGGGGTAATAGCGTCTGGATTTTCTCTGGCGGAAAAGACAGGGAAACAACAGACACAGATTAGATTACACATTACATTATGTTTTTATATAGCCCGTAGAACTGACAGCAGTGGCAGTTGTTGGTCTGTAAAATCGAAGAAGCTTCTTTAGAAGCCCAGGTGTTTGAATTAGACTAGAAAAATGTCTTAGTGCAATATAATATCGGCAAATCAGACATCGGCAAATATATCTAGACATCACTTGAGGTACAAGTAAGGAATGCTCCTTCCAGTTAAACACTTCATCTAACCATCATGCGGCTTCCTCACTCACCCACTGCTAACTGACTTTCAGTGACGCTTATATGTCAGTTACTATCTACTGTTAGTATCAACTGCCCCCTGTGGAAAAATGAAGTCCCCATTCTGCCCCAGAGAATCAAATGGTAACTAAGCTTCATCAGGGTTGATAGTGAAAAAAATGTAGCGGTACTAAGCTTCATCAGGGTTGATAGTGAAAAAAATGTCAATGTCCGATTTTGCCCAAACACTTAATTTCCAATTCCGATATCAACCGATACCGATGTAGCGGGGCAGTGGTGGAAGTTAAGTGCCACCTGCTCACTAAGGCGATAGGTTGAAGCAGTGTTTCTTAATTCTATTCTGCCATGCCCCCCCACAGGAGACAGCTTTTTTTTTTTTTTTACACACCTCCCCTAACCCCCAAATTAAAATATTATTGAGCACCTGGTAATATTTATTTATTTATCTGTACAAACCACTGTATGAGTTGCTGGTACCAGCAGTCACCTGATTATCAAAATAGATTAATAAAATAAGATACAATGCTGCCATCTAGTGGAGGCTTGTTTATCGTTCATCACATTTTTGAAGAAGCTGGGGTTGAGAGCAATAAAGCTACTAAATAAATAACCTTAGCCATCCCTACTCTGCACTCTATTTTCATGCAATGAGAACAGCGCTACGGAAGCGTGTCCTGTCGGTCTTATGCTCACCTTCCGCTGGAAGACCAGTCCGAACTCCCTCAGGTGCTGCAGGAAAGTGAGTAAGGACTCACTCATGCCCTCCACGGAGTAATCCTTTGGTGCAGAAGCAGAAAAATAAATGCGTTTACGAACAACAGAGATAACATTTTTTAATCCTTCTGCCGTGACACTGTTCTACAACATTATTGCGGCATACTCACCCGGCCTAAAGTAGAGAAACTGAGCTGGAATAAGAAAGACAAGATCTCCACCAGGTCCATCCCTCGGGTCTGTATAACACACACACAGGTTGGTCCACATGAAATCAGGTTTTAAAGCCACTTGCAAAAAAAAAAAAAAAAGACAAAAATATAAATCTGTACCACATTCAGTATCGTAAAGTATCCAGTGTTTGCGAACCCTTGAAGTTCGATATTGTCTAAACACTTAATTTCCGATTTCCATATCAACCAATACCATTATATGCAGCCGTTTGTCACAACAACAATAATTCACTTTCACTTTATTTTTAGGTTACATCATCTAGGCGACAACGTTATCAGGTTTTTATTATCGGAGAAAAAAACCCAATAACGCTTCTTTCCAATGTTACATAATTATGCTAATATTGGCCGATATTATCAGACAGCCCTGTTTATTACCGTACTTTTGTATTGTACATTTTAATATATATATTTTTTTATTTTATATTTTACAAAAAGAGAAAGGAGAACGTTCAAGTGTAAATCCTGTTGCGTGTTCATTGTTCCTCCAATAAAAGTCATTTTTCGAAATGTACGAAAGAGATCAAACGTAGGATCTTGTTTTGCTGGGAGAAAAGATAAATGGAGGGATTTGGCTCTAGGGAGGAGAAGATGAAGGGATCACAAAGGAGGAGTCTGATTGGGGGGAAAGAATAGATCAAAGGAGGGTGTATCTGACTATAAAGAAGAACACTGTACAGCGGGAATCTATATGAAAGGAAGGGATGAAAAGAGGAGATCGGAGAAATCAGAGGTGCGACCCGATTGAGGGAAAGGATACGAGCTATCTAATTGGGTTCAGACTTTGACTGGATGTAATAAGCAAGAGATTTAATTGGATATATTGATCTAATGGTAGTTAAGGGAGGATCTATTTGAAGAAAAGATAAGTAGAAGCTGATTGGTGGGAAAAGGAAATTGAAGAAAGGGATTGATCTGGGACAAAAGAAAATGCAGCCCATAAGGTTAGGGCAAATTTAGTTTGTGTTTTTGTCCAATGTTTGATGTAGTGACTGCATCATTTTATTCAAACGAGTGTCGGCGCTGCATTACACGAACGTACCTGCGCAGTTTTCAGGTACTGCAGCGTGATGTACCACAGCTGAGAAGCAGTGTCCAGCAGCAGGAACTGGAAACCAGCTGAGGTGATGTAGGGGGCTTCTCCGGACTCGCTAAGACGTGCACACGGGCCAACAGAAAACAACATGAAACAGGGAATCAAATAATATTTTTTTATAATTTGTCATTATTTTTTTTATATTGAAACAAACCTCTTCATGAGTCCGGCCTGAACCAGCAGCTGTGCCAGATCTTGGCTGACGGCAGCACTGGTGGATCCCACCATGAAGTGCAGAATCACCTCCCAGCGCTCCATAGCGTAGTGGTCGAGACTGTCAATGTCGCGCGCGTGACGATCAGGCCCCAGAGCGCTGCCCTCGTCCGCCCACGCTTTGCCCCTGTTGCATTTCATTCAGCAAAAGACAGAAAACATACAGTGTACTCACTTTTTTTGTAAACACACATCAGACAGATGGGTGGATCTCAAATTCAATCCTTAATTAACATCGTTACGACCTACCCGCCAAGCAGAGCGATCCTAAGGTTATCCTTGAAGACCAGATTCAGGATGTATCCCTGCAGTCCGCCCTGCAGCTGCTGACTGTGCCAGAGCCTGAGTCCGGTCAGCATTGACACACATTCATCGTGGTCCCTGCGGATAGAACACAAAAGGAACGTGACATGAAGAGACAGTAAAGCGCTTTATGTGACGTTGCATTACTACAGGGGTGTCAAACTCATTTTCAGCAGGGGAGGCCACATCAGCAGTACAGCTCCCACTTGAAGGGCCGGTTGTAAACGGTATAGACTGCATAGATGTAACTACTACATAACACATTCATACATGTTTCTGCAATTGATTATTGTTTATATAATTTACAAATATCAAATACTGAGTTTTTTTTTTTTTATTGTTTATATAATTTACAAATATCGTTTGTACTCTGTGTATTTTTAAAAAAAAATGTATCAAGATAAGAAACTCTGTTGCATGGACCTTATTAAATGCTTTTGAAGCTCCCTCGCGGCCCATACAAAATGACTTGGCGGGCAACACTTGGCCCCCGGGCCTTTAGTTTGACATGTGCATTAGTACCTCTCTGGACAGTTATGGTAATTTGATGACATAAATGTCAGCACGAAAACAACAAGAAACAAGGAACACAAGGGTGTAATCAATCTAAGCTAAGCTTTGTGGTCTGCAACTTTGTTTGTTTTGTTTTGTTTTTTTAACTTTTGGCCATAAAAACCAGTATATGACTGAACCTCTGCACACACAGTGAAACATTAAAAACAGTTAGAAACAATTAAAAAGATTAGAACCAATAATACTCACCTCTACAGCAAAATGAGGCACTAGTTAGGCTGTTAAAAATTGCATTTGGCCAAAATAACTGTAAATATTTATCAATAAATATTGGCTTTAAGATACATTTCAGTAAAATAGTAATTTTCTTTAAATTATTTATAAGGAGAACTCTATTGCTAATGTAGCCCCGGGTGAAAATGAGTTTGACACCTCTACAATTTAGAGAAATGACAAGATAATAAAAAAGGTGAGCAACTCACTTCTGGCTGTCCTTCTTTACCCACAATGCCACTCCAGCCTGTGGTAGTGGCTGGTCCAGAAAAAGCATACGCATCACATAGGTTTTGGCCAGAGAAGGGAGTTCTCTGTGGAAGAATAATCATTAAAAATGAATGCGTTGTTACAGACTTTAGGGTTAACAAGAAAAGCAAAGCCTTCGTACCTGTAGACAGCCAGACATGTTGCCGGGTGGTTGTAGAGTCTGTCCAAAATGTCAGGACTCAGCTCCCTCAAATATTCATGCAGATTTTTGCACTGCAACTGGACACGTAGCTTCATCGTCTACCGAAATAAAGAGAAAAAAAATCGTCAATGTAATGACCGAATGATAGCCGATAGCGCTAGTTTTGATGTTTTAAATTCTTCATTACATTACAATATAAATAAGTACGTAAGAAAAGTTTCTACATGCAGTGGACCCACTGACACGACGTAGGTTATGTATACATTTGGTTAAACCCGCGTAGTGCGTTAACGTTCCAATTCTCCAACATAGGTTTTATTCGAAGAAACATATCATAGTTTATTCCCAAATTTAGCGACAGTACCAGTCGTGGGTTCAATACCAATCGCAACTTATTGTAAAAAAAGTAAATGACAACAAAGCCGGGAACAAAGAAACAAGAAAACGCTATTAGCATGCCAGGTGTGATATTTACCGAGTTGACGGACTACACGTCCTAAGCAGTAATCTGTAGTAAAATAATTTAATTGTACGAATACATTGTTCTATCATTCTTTTATTTCTACTTTCTGGATACGATGCATGTTTTATGTAGGTCGGCTCAGGCTTCCGGTTATCATATCACGTGACAACTCGAGCGCCTCCTCATTGGTTTTGTTTTTAGTTTTCTACCGAATGTAGTCGTTAAACAAGCTGAAAGATGTAGTGCTGCCACCTGGTGTGTTTAGTTGGCAGTGACATTAGAGAAATGTATCGCTCTTTGGTCCCACGTTAATACGTATTTATTTGGTTGTAGTTAATTAGTGCTGATTAAAGCTCAGCTTCGTATGCGGATGCACTCGAGCCCACAGAAAAAGAGTATTGGTATGGTTTGTCAATAAGACACTGTCTTACTGCAAGACAACAAATAATTTAGGTATTTTAAAAAAAATCTAAAGTAAATGTTACTCTGCACAAAATTTACGGAGGTACACGATATCCTCATGGTTAAAAGTGTCCCTCAAACGCCTCATGATGCTGCATTAAAAATGCTTCTAGGGCCTAGAAATAAATAATAATAAAAATGAATAATTTATTTGCTGTATGGGTGTATGCTAAATGCATGCTAAACATGCTAAATTTAATTTAAGGTG